TTCAATTTCATTATCTGTCGAAAAAACGTCTTACTTTGTTGTCCGTAGTTTGCTGTCTTTTGATGAAATTATATGTTTCTTTATTTATTCATTAGAAGTTACAAAAAGTGACAAGATAATTACGTAAGCCAGACTAATGTTTTTTCAGGCTGACAGCTGGAAATTTCAATAATGCTATGTGTAAGGCTAGTAAATGTACCATCGTTGAAGTCGAAGAGATCGTCGAACCTGGCACCATCGACCCTATGGATGTAAAGTTTTATTTTAATGAAGAGAAGCAGATTATGTACAGCGCATGAGATTTGTAGGTTCATATCCCATCCATATACTGTGACCGTCTCGTGTTAGGAAAAAGTTACAAGAAACCCATTGAGCGACCCATGTTTGCTTCGGTAAGTTTGAAAAGACATTTTTGACTTTCATCCAAGTTCAAAATTCAATCTAAGGAAGGACCAGTAAAGCCATCTACATCGGCAGCTGGCCGAAGTCGCGAAATAATCGCTGCTCGAGCAGCGATGGAATTTCAGGATGGCATGTATGGTGAGAATTTTTCTTTTGGAATTGTTGTCTAATCGATATAATATCTCAGAATCTTTTCAAAAGACAGTACATTAAAGTTATGTTGTAGCAATTACTCTGCATTCATATTTATTATTTCAAGTAGCTCAGATTGAATGGAAAAATTATTTGGGCTTGCAAATCTGATAGTAATATTCCAAACAGTTTGTGGTTTGACTCTCATACAAACGGTGTCTAGTTTTGATTTTTGGGGTTTCATCGACATTAAAGTTGTTTATCTTGAATCTGTCGATTCTTAAATTTTCAGTAGTGCCAAAAGGCTTTCTCTTACCTTAATCACTTTTTCCAAATATTGCTTTGTAGTAAGAGAGATATTTATTGGACCAACTGAAAGAAAAGTATGATTGAATTTTCAAAGAAAATCTACCACTTGTACAATGTCAGTTTAAAAGGGATCCTTCCAGTTAACATATTCCATTCAATGTTAGTACAGAAGATCTATAATTGGAATGTCCAATAATTTTTCTCAGTTTGGAGAAAAAAGGCGAAGATTGCCCTTGTGTTTACGCGTTTGGGATATACGTTTGTCAATGGGTTGAATAAAAGGAAGATAAGATTTGTGGGCGGAAAAACGTCAGAAAAATATTACTCGTATAAATGTCCACCTAATTTTAAAATAAATCGTGACGTCAATTCTCAGTGAGTTTGACAAGTTCTGTAGCAAGTTCATCTCACCATTTCAGTTAATCT